CTTCCTTGCGACGTGTTCAAAGGCTGCGCCCTCGACACTCAGGAATCACGCTCTCGCTGCGGATTTTGTACGGATCTATTTGGGACCGCGCTATCGCTCGAGACTTCAGCGCGATTGTTGCAGGAAGGTCTACCCGCCCTATCTGCCCGTCTGGCTCTGCCATGTGTTTTCTGCTCCTGGCCCCCCTCCTGCTACTCTCTCTCTCTCTCTCGTGCTCCATCCTCCTCCCTTCCCTCTCCTCTTCCCGTCCTTCCATCAATCCTCTCTTCCTCTGCCTTAGGGGCTGCGCGAAATACACGTTGCAAATAAGACAGACACACCCGTAAAAAGGGTACGATCAAAACGAAGAGGGCGGAGATCGAAGGTTTGGGATCTACGCGTTGAATGGCACGCGAGCAGATAAAAGCGAACAGTCTTACCATGAGTGTTGTTGCTGTTGTTGCTGCTGTTGCTGCTGTTGTTGTTGCTGTTGTTGTTGCTGTTGTAGTTGTAATTGTAGTTGTAGCTGTAGTTGTAGTTGTTGTGGTTGTTGTGGTTGCTGTTGTGGTTGTGGTTGTGGTTGTGGTTGTTGTTGTTGTTGTTGTTGTTGTTATTGTTGTTGTTGTTGCTGCTGTTGTTGTTAATGTTGTTGTTGTTGTTGTTGTTGTTGTTGTTGTTGTTGTTGTTGTTGTTGTTGTTGTTGTTGTTGTTGTTGTTGTCGCTGTTGTTGTTGTTGTTGTTGATGATGATGATGTTGTCGTTGTGGACCCCCCCAGGCGCTTTGGCGTTCTCGCCTCGGCGCCGGCTGCATTTTCTTGGAAAATGAGGCTCACGCTGGAGCGGTTTTGGGGGGCGCCCAAACCGGCCCCTCAACAACAACATCGCTCCCGATCGAGATTTCCTCCTTTTTTGCTCAGGGCCGGTCGTCTTGCTCGCCGCCGACGCTCCCGCTCGAGACTTCCTCCCGTTTTATCCTTGGATTGGCGCGCTACTCTTTCTCTCATCGGCGCCGCCCCCCCCAAAAACAACGCTCCCGCTTGAGAGTTCCTCCCTTTTTTACTCAACGCGGGGCTCCTCCTCGCCGCCGAAAACCGCCGTCCCGACAAAACCAGCGCTCCCGCCCGAGACTTCCTCCCGTTTTGCGCTGGTCTGGCGCCCTACTCTCTTTTAAATTGGCGCCGCTCCCAGCAAGAACAACGCTCCCGTGCGAGGTTTTCTCCCTTTTTCCTCAGGACGGTGCTGTTCCTCGCCGCCGACAGCCCCCGTCCCGACAAAATCACGGCTCCCGCTCGAAACTTCCTCCTTTTTGCTCAAGGCGGTGTTCCCCCTCGCCGCCGACAACCGCCGTCCCAACAAAGCCAACGTTCCCGCTCGACACTTCGTTTTGTTTTGCGCTGGACTAGCGCCCTACTCTCTTCAGCATTTGCGCCGCTCCCACCAACAACAGCGGCCCTGCTCGAGACTTCCTCCCTTCCTATTCAGGGCCAGGTCCTTGGCTCGCCGCCGACAGCCTCCATCCCCACCAAGGCAATCCTGTCGCTCGATATTTCCTTGCGCTTTACCCTTGGCTGGGGGCTCCACTGGCGGTCTCGCATCGGCGCAGCAATGCGCAGGCATGCGTTTTCGAGGCGGGATATGTTGTAATTCCTCGGAGGAGGTGTTTGCAAGACCTCATTGGGCGGGGGATCTGGGAATTCGAATGACGACCCCGCTATAGAACAAGAGTCCCCCATGATGGGGATGGTTATCATGATGGTCGCATGCTTCGTGTGGAAACATCGCGAATGAGGATGAACTGATTGTTGTTGTTGTTGCTGCTGCTGTTGTTGTTGTCATTGTTATTGTTATTATAATTGTTGTTCTTGTTGTTGTTGTTATTATTATTGTTGTTGTTGTTGTTGTTGTTGTTGTTGTTGTTGTTGTTGTTGTTGTTGTTGTTGTTGTTGTTGAATGTGCATGTATAATACATACACTTGTTGATCCCCCCTCCCCGGTAACCATTATATATTTTCAAACAAAGTGCTTCTCCCAGGGTTCACATCCTGCTTCTTCTTACACGGGTAAGCGAAGTGTCACCAAACTGCGCCCTGCCCCCCGACCTACAACAACAACGGTTCCCACCTGGTACTTCCTCGCAATGTATTCCCAAAGCGCGCTCTCGCGTGGAACGTCTTCACAATTCATGCAGGAATCGCGCTCTCGCGTGGAACTTCCTCGCAATTTATTCAGACGCCGCGCCCTCGACACTCAGGAATCACGCTCTCGCCTTGGCTTACGTATCTCACGATTTACTTTGGAATCGCGCTATCGCTCGACACCTCCTTCCGATTCATGCAGGACGCATGCTTCAGCAACCCGCCTGCTCGACCTGGCCGCCTGGGCCCGCCTTCCCGACCCGCCTGTTAGGGTCTACCCGCCCGATCTGCCGGTCTGGTTGCGCGCGCCTGTTGGCCGCGCGCTGCTTCCCGCGGTCGCCCTTGCCTGGCGGCGCGCAGAGGGGGGTGGGGGGAGGGGGGAAGGCTTCTCAGAAGGAGTTCTGCTTCTTAGAAGGCGCGGGCCGTGCATCTGCAGGCAAGGCCCGCGCCGCGCCCTCTGCAGGGGTGCTTCCAAGAAGCCTGCCGACCCTCCGCCTACCCCCCTCTGCGCGTGGCCGACTGGCCTTGGGATCGTGAACCAAAGCATCTTGCGTGCTCACAGCCCTGGGATCCGTCGGCGGTGGACAAACCTCCCTTTCGTAAACCTCCCTTTCGTGAAAACGGCCTGGGACCGATACCGACGGACCTGGACCCGGAAAAATGACGGCCGCGACGCCCTCTCGCGAACCGGAAACGGCCAATTCCTTAATCGACGTGTCAGGGTAGGAGGTCTGTCCACCCCCGAATCCGACGCTGCAGAGCATGGCAACGGCGCAAAAATCACGACCGAAGCCCCAGACCCCATCTGTCTGCGTCGTCTTTCGAGCCGGATCCATCAGTGAGGGTCCCAAAACCGGAAACCGTGCGAGGACGCCCTTTGAAAAAAGTGAAACGCGAATCCGGCAGTGTAGGCTCACAAAGAACCCACACATGCGATGCCTTGACTTTTTCAATACGGCGTCCCTGGAAGTCCCGACCCTTTCTCCAGGGCCAGTCCTTCATCGCGAGTCGTTTTCTGGACGGCACTGGGGCCCGGCGAAGACCACTCGAGGCAGAAAAGTGCCCCACACCTCCCGTCGGGACTTTCTCACGACGCGAGCACGTCTGGGAAGCTGTCCGCGACGCGCTTGCAGGGCCGCGACTGCGCCCTCGGCTCCGGGCGGATGGGGCGAGCAGCGATTCGTTCGCTCGGTGCCCAGCGTGCGCCGAGGCTGTCGCTGGGGTTGGCGGCCCCGCCAGCGGGGAGCGAGCTGGCAGCTGCCCGCGGCCTCGCCTGGCAGGCTCTTGTGAGCGCCGTGTTACGACCAGCTGATTCGAACATACATCAGGCAAGGGGGATCAACCAAATGTTTCTCGTCTGGGTCGCTGGCTGCCGCCTGGCGGCCTAGGCGGCGACGACGGCGACGAGCCATAAGTCTATTGTTGGTGACCCACTTCCCAACGAGGCGCTACCACCCCCCAAGCTTGGGCACTTCTGAATCGCTTGGTCTCCCTGCCATTCACACCGGGCTTCGCGCGGGAGTGCACAGCGATCTTGCGCCGAGGCTTCCGCGGGCGCACGCCGCGCGGAGAAGAGGGCGCTCACGCGCGACCTCACGCGGGACGCCCGCGCGCGACTGGCCGCGCAGTCGACTCCGTCTCCTTCCGCCGCCCACCTGCGCGCGAGGCAGAACCTCTCGACGCCGGCGCTGCGCGCAGGAGCGAGGGCGGGGAGCCCGAGGGCCCGGATCTGGCCCGAACCTGCGCGCTCCGCCGAAGCGCCGACCGCAGCATGTCTCTGCTTCATCTGAGGAGGAGGAGGAGGAGGAGGAGGAGGAGGAGGAGGAGGAGGCGGCGGATGATGAGGAGGAGGCGGAGGAGGAGGAGGCGGATGATGAGGAGGAGGCGGAGGAGCAGGAGGCGGAGGAGGGAGGCGGCGGAGGGGAGGAGGGAGGAGGAGGAGGAGGAGGCGGCGGAGGCGGAGGAGGAGGAGGAGGAGGTAATTTCGGCCGGCGCCCAGATTTCCACGACCAAAGGAAGCAAGGGGGGGTCCAGCGCCAATCCGAGAACTCCGCTGGATGTCGAGGCCCCTCCAGCGCAATCAAGGACGTCTGAGGGGGAAGGGGAGGCGGCCGAAACAACTCCAATCGGTGCATCGGCCACCATCGCGAGGGGGGGGATGAGCACGAGCAGGGGGAGGCAGGAGGAGTCGGAGTCCGAAGCGGATGGGCTGGAGGAGCGGGACGGGGAAGGAACGTGAGGGGCAGGAAACACGATGCAGGATGGGGGGGGGGGGCAGGGGTAGGCGCAGGGTCTCGGGGTTTGGGGGGGAAGGCGGGCGACGAGGGCGACGACGGGTCCAGAGGCCTCGTGAGATACCGTGGAAGATGGGCAACGCCAGCCAACAACCTCGATCGAACCCATCGGTCCATCGTCGCCGACCCGATCCGATCGATCCTCGACCGAGTCGACGGCAGTGACGACGAAGACGAAGGACGACGACGGCGTCGCTGGGCGGCGGCAGCCAAGCCCCCCCCCCCGGGGGAACACGTCCAGGAGGATGGCGGCGACGAAGCCGCACTCGCCCACGTGGCCCTGCGGGCCGGCCCTCCTCCTCCTCCTCCTCTGCCGCCCGACGACCCGGCCGCCCTTCCAGCTCTGCGACGGCACCGTGGAGGAGCGTCGGGAGGGGACCGGCTACCTACCAGACCACCCCAACCCAACCCGGAGACCCGAAATTCGGGTTGGGGGGGGTAAGGGTTCCACATGTGTTTTTTCGATGTTTCCCGACCCCCCCCACTGGAAATCGAGGGTCAATCTGAGCCTTCGGGTTGGGTTGGGGTGGTTTGGTGGGTGGTGAGGGGGCCGGCTCGGGGGGGGGGGGAAAGCATCGACCTGGGATCGGCGATGCATCGCCCATGGATCGGCGAGAGGTCCCCGACAGCGAAGCCGCAGGTGGGCCGGGTGGGCCATCGGGCCCCCCTCGGCGATCGAGATGGACGATTGGGGGCCGGTGCCCCCCCCCGAGCCCATCCCCCCCCGACGTTGCACCTGTGGTATTTTGTGTTCCAATCCCGGCGGTTCTCCTCGATCTCGGCCTCCGGGGCCCATCATCGGGCCGCGAGGATCGGGGAGGATCGACGATCGAGGAGCAGGAGGGTCGAGGATCGGGCAGGAAGATCGGGCGTCGAAGATCGAGGGTCGACGCTTGTGGACGCTTCTGAAGCCTCCAGGAGCGTCCTGGGATCGTCGAAGGTCTGCAGAGACGTGCAGAGGTACGGAGGCGTCCGGGAGAGGTCGAGAGGATGACGAGAGCCTCCTCTGCCCACAGGGGGTTAACCACAATCTGCGTGTCAAGACTGGATGCTGTGCCGCTTCACCCGAAGCCTCAGCTGTTCGAGGCCTGCCAATCTGAGTCGCTATTCCTCGCTGGCTCTTCGGTCCCTCTCGTGGTCCTCTCCGGCTCCACCGCTGCTTGTTTCGCTGGGCGGCTCCGCGCGTGGCGCAGAGCGAGGTCCAAAGCCAGATCCTCGTCCTTCCGCCCTGGCTCCTCCTCCGCGTCGTCCTTCTGCTGCTGCTGCTCATCATCCTCATCTGGGGCGCGCCGAGCGTGGGGGCCAGGCAGAGGTGTGTGTGTGTGTGTCCTTGTCGCTGTCCCTGGGCGCCTCGCAGGTCACATGTGACCTCGGCACCCTGGGCTCCCGCTGCCCGCTGCCTTCGCTCCCAGTTCCTGCTGGGCACTGCTCCCCCTGGCGACACTCCTTGCTGCCGCCTGGTCTGCCCCCCCCCCCCCCAGCTGCTTCGCCGCCGCTGGCCCCCGCCCCTGGTGCTGCCCCGCCGCTGCCTGGCTCCGCTCTGAGCGGACCCGGCCTCCCGCTGCCTTCTGCCCGCGCGTGGGCGTCCTCCTCTCTCCCCCGTGCATCGCGGCCACATTCGCGTTTCGTGTGCCCCACTACTGCGACTTCGCCGGCGCAGTAACTCTGCCTAGCCGCCGACGCAGAGTGTGTGTGTGTGTGTGCTCCTCATTCCTCTAACCTACCTATCGTTTGCATGTTGCAGTGTGCGACACTTGTACGCTGCGCGATCGACGATGCTCGGTCGCAATCAGCACTTCCGCCTGCTGCTCGCGCCTGAGGAACCTCTGCGCGAGGCATTTGCGCTCGGGGCCTGGGAACGCGTTGGAAGAAGAACAGGGACCACGAAATCTAGGAGATGATCACGGCCGTGGCAATGACATCGATCCCTGAATTCTCACCCCATTTTTGGACGCTCCGACTGTACTCCCTGGGCCAAATGCGGAGGGGTGCAACCTCTAGAAACCTCCAGAAGGCTACTGGAAGGCACCGAAAAGACAACAAGGCACTCAAACACCACCGACACCCCCAGCAGATGCTGCAAACATTCGAACATCTGCAGGGACCCCCCCGAGAGCTGCCAAAAAACCTTCGGAAAGCCGCCGACCACGTGCGAAAGCCTCCAGAACCCTTCCGAGAGTCGCCGCGAAACCTTCCGAAAGCCGCACGCTCAAAACTTTGGAGACCCAGCAGAAGCCCCCCTGGAGAGCCCAGGCAAACCTCCAGACGGAGAGAGCCGCCGAAGGCCGCCGGAAGAACTCCGCTGGCGAGAAGGCCGTCGCAGACCTCTCCCGGGATGCCGCCGAGGGCCTCCGGGAGACCCGAGAGCCCCCGAGAACACTGCTCAGTATACAGTCGGACCTGGGCTTAGGTCGGGCATGTCCCCCTGCAGGCTGACTTTTTTCTTAGGAAAAGGAAATCAAAACATACTCTTAAAAAAAAACAAAGTACTCAAAACATCGTCCCCAGACTATCTCTTTACTATCTTGGAATCGTCCTCCTGTAGAGGGACACGCCCGGCTTAAACCTGGGCCGGAAGAGCATCCTTCAAGAGCACGAGACTCTCCGCCGGCCAAAAGGAAGAGCGTTCCCGAAAGAGAGAGAGAGAGAGAGAGAGAGAGAGCCTCGCCTCTGCGGCGCCTCTCGCGCCCTCGGCGGAGAGCCGGCGGAGGTACAAAGGCGCCAGACCCGCCAGCGGAAGCGGGCAGAGGGCGGGGGGTGGCCGAGCATTTTGCAGGTTCAGGGTTGCAATCGGAACTAGGCCAGACGAACATCCTTCAAAAGCATGAGACCCTCGGCCGGCCAAAAGGAAAAGTATTCGAAGGCCCCCCCACCCCCCCCAGGATGCACGAGAGCAGCCGGCAAGTACGAGGAGCATTCGGGTACTCTCCGGGAGCCGACCTCGATCTTTTACGTCGGTCTGACTGCACCCGCCGAGAGCTACAGCCGACGTGCTACGAACGCCAAGTCATGAGGTATGAGGCTTGGCCACGGCGAGCCTCGGCCACGAATACGGTTCCCGACCGAGACCCAAGGAACGGCCCGAAAACCAGAGCCCTTCTGAGTCTCGAATGGCTCTTACTTCAGCGTCTTGGCTGAACCTCGCAGCGGGGTGGCAAGTTGAAAAAGAAAAAACGCCATAAACATAAACTTTTGGCGATCCGCGCGGATGCAAGAAATCCGCGCAGAGCGCCAGACAAATATTGTTATGGCGTCTTTTCTTCTTCGAGCAGAGGCGCGCGGGCCTGCTCGGAGAAGACGACGGTCCGCTCGGGGCTGCCACGGTAGCGGGCTATCTGCGGCGCCACCTCCTCGGGGGCGGTGAGGATCTGGAGGTACGTGAGGGTCTCGACCTCGGCGAGGTTGGCCTCCTCCTCCTCCCCCCCCTCCTCCTCCTCCTCCTCCTCCTCCTCCTCCTCCTCCTCCTTTTCTTCCTCCTCGGTGGGCAGGAACTTTTGCTTACCTGGCGCGTCGCGGAGGCGACCCCGGCGACACGTTATACCCTACGAGCGGATCGCGTGTCGCTCCGCCTCGTGGGACGGGAGGCTGAGAAAAGCTCGAGACGTGAACGCTTAGACATGGGGACGTGGTCAGCTTGTCGCGCCGAGGCGTGATGGGCCAGAAGCGGTGGCGCGACACGCTGTAACCACAAGCTCCTGCAAGTGGGCGCTGGCCGGCGTTGAAGGTGCTCCAATCGGCGTCTCGGGGGAGCGCGCCACTTCCGGACAGATCCAGAGCCCGTGTGATGGGCAAAGATAGGAGGGGATAGGCATATTAGGGGCACTGCGTCGACCTCGAATGGCCGATGCATCGCCCGTGCATCGTCGACGCAAACGGCCCCATGTATCGTCTATACGTTGCCAGTGCATCGCCCGGATATCAAGGATGGATCGTCGATGTATCGGCCTCTCGAGGTCCCAGACCCCCGACGTCGTGATTTCTTCACAGCGTCGAACCCCAGAGGTCTGGACCCCTTCCCTGGGACCGGCTTTTCACCCTGAGTCGTTTTTTGACAGTCCTAGGGCCCGGGAAGGGCCCCCGGAGGCTGAAAATAGCCAAAAACCTCCCGTCGTGATTTTTTCACAACGCGAGGGGGTCTGGGACTCGAGGTCGATGCATCCCCCCCTGTGCCTATCTCCCCCCCCTCTCGATGTCCCCGACCGGTGGGGGGGGTCCCGAAGGCCTTCGAGCGCTCCCTGCGCTCGCCCGCCCCGAGCAGCGCCGACGTCGGGAGGCCCCGTTCTCGCGCGCAGGCGGCCGTCCTCCTGCTGTCGGCGGGGGCGACGCGGCGGGCGCGAGCTCCCTGGGGAGTTTTGAAAAAATCACGACGGTTTTTTTTTTGTGTAATATAAATATAAATATATATATATATATATATATATATATGTGTGTGTGTGTGTGGCCTCTGAAGGCCCTTACCGGCCCCGGGGACCGTCAAAAAACTGCTCAGGATGACAAGCCGGTCCCGGGGAATTGGTCCAGACCTCTGGGGCTTGACGTTGTGAACAAATCGCGACGTCGGGGGTTTGGGAAGGGGGCGTCAGCATAGGGAGGGAAACCTGTATGTTTTTTGTTGTTTAAGGGACAAATGTATTGAACTCCGCTGCCCCTCAGGAAGGCTATCTCCCAACCGCGCGGCAAAGGCACAACCGCACGCGTGCGCGGCGCGCCTGAGACAAGTGGATCGTCCCGCGATGGGATAGCTGCATCAGCAAAGGGGCCCAGGGATACACAAACAAATCGACACGGCTTCCATCATTTCCAACAGTTTCGATATATATATATATATATGTATATATATATATATATATATATATGTATACACAAATATACTAGAACCACGCGCGCGCTGCGTGCGCTTAGGTTCTAGTCACGGCATCATGGCGCCAATGGATGCCACGGCAAGCAGTGCCATCGACAGCGAATTTCGTTCCAAAGAGTCCTGACGGCCGACCCTCCTGGAGCCTTGGAAATCTCGTCTGTGCTGCCTCCTTCCTGGCATAACTCCGTCGCAGTGTTTCATTGCAGGAAGGTTCCAAAACTGCCTGGACTGGACCAGGCTGAATCGAACGGCCACGAACCAACGTCCCTTCCAAGACGAATCGAACCTAACCGGAATGGTCGCGGTAAAGACCCGAACCGAACCGAACCAAGATCGCTCGTGGACCGAATGCAGGATGGGTCTATCGGGACCCTATCGGCGATGAATGGGCGATTGGGGATCGATGCATCCCCCCCTGAGCCTGTCCCCACCTAACGTTGCCCCGATGCCCCCCCCTTCCCACCCGCCCTGCTTCCCTTCCCCCCGCCCCAATACAAGACCACGATGGTAAGCATCAGTGGGTGAAGAGAGCCCTCCTGGTAACCATACAAACAGGAATACGGCGAGCCCTTAACATTATATGATAAAGGAACAAAGCGAGGCTTTGCGATGAATATTTGCAGCAACGAGCAACACGAGAGACACATGAAGAAACACGATGCGAGGATCATGGATATCATGATGAAGAGGGAGGGGGGAGGTGGTGGTCTTTGGGGGAGGAATGGGGAGGGGAGGAGGAAGGGAGTAGTCACGAACGATGGGGAGCCAAGGATGCTGTTTTTCGATGCCTCCGCGCATGGGCCCAGCGAGGGACGCGTCAATCTGGCACCCGGGCACGAGCTCAGGAAGCCTTGCACTTCTGCGCGTCGCCTGTGGGAGCCCTCCCACGCAGGTCCAGAATGAATGGCGGACCCGGCGCCGGCTGGGAGCACTGACGATGCACCTGCGATGTCGGGATGCTGCAGCTCTTGGGCCACACCGTTCCGTACATGTGTCGATGGCGCGCTGGCGATATCGAGACGATGTGCTCGAGCTCCGAGATCACACGGCCTCGCCGATGCATCGGCGATAGGGTGCGATCTAGGAGCTTGATTCCCAAAGATCCGACGTCGTGATTTTTTCAATGCGGGGTCCCCGGAAGTCTCGACCCATTCCCCAGGAAAGGTTACTCGTCCTGAGAATAGTTTTTTGACGGTCCCGGGGCCCAGCATTGGCCGCTGGAGGCCGAACATCGAGAAAAACCTCCGTCTTGTTTTTTTCAATGCGTTTGAAGGGGAACTGGGACACACACAAATAAATAGACACAAATCAAAGGATTCCCAATATTTTCCCCATATTTTCTGGGTTTTTGTCGCCCCCCCCACTTCCCATATTTTCCCGTGTTTTCCTGGGGATCGACGATTAATTGTGTCTGTGTGTTTTTTTCCTCCTGAGCGCTGGAGGTCTGGGCTGTCCGCTCCGGCCCTGTTGGGGAGGGGCGGCGCCTGCTCCACCGGGCGGCGCCCCCGCCTCGCTGGACTTGCAGCAGCACGCCGCCAGGAGCCAGTGGATGAACACGCCACCTTACCAGCCTGGAACAGATCCCTATCCCTATGCTGGGCACCTCCTCGTCACGATGCCAATCTTGGGGATTCCCTTATTTTTTGAGGGCGAATCCCTAAGATTGTCATCGCCTTTTGGCGCGTCAATCTTAGGGATAGGGATACGTTCGAGGCTGGTAACCACCGAGGGCGCCGAAGACAGACCGCCACACGAAGCGCCCGGCCCGCACGGCCAGGGGCTCCTGGATCAGGACCTTGGCGTAGTCGTTCTCGCCACTTCGGTGCCGCGACCGCCACCCCTCGTCGAAGAGCACGGCCGCCAGCTGGCAGGTCGGGTCCTCCTCGGACCTTGAGGGGGAACGTTAGGGGGGGTCTGATTGAGGAGGGGCCGATCGACCTGGAATCAGCGACACCTCGCCGACAGATCGGTGGTGGGCCCCCAACAACGAACCCGCACGCTCCTGGCGGAGTGGGCTGTCGGGCCCCTGTCGGCGACTAATGGTCGATTGGGGGTCGATGCATCCCCCCTTGAGCCTATGATGCCCCTCTAGCATTGCCCCAATACTTTTCGGCGCAATAACTCGGTCCTCTGGCGGCCGGTCGGGACGATCCAAGCGGAGGAGGAGGAGGAGGAGGGGGAGGAGGAGGAGGAGGAGGAGGAGGAGGAGGAGGAGGAGGAGGAGGAGGAGGAGGAGGAGAAGGAGGAGGAGGAGGAGGAGGAGGAGGAGCACCCCTGGACGCCCCTCGGCGAGGCGCAGCTGCCAGAGCGCACTTTCCCAGGCTGGAAGGCCGCCGAGAACGCCCGAAGGAAGCCTCTGGCCTCGAAGGCCCGAAGCGCCCCCCCGCGGGGCGCCTCCCCGCTGCCCGCGCCGCCGCCGCCCCGAGGCGATGCCTCGAGCCAGCCGTGCCCCCCTGACGCCGCCCCGGGGGACCTCCTGGCGGCCAGCCCGCTGCAGTTGCCGAGGCCCGCGCCGCAGTACGCGAAGCTGACCGCGAGGCCGTCTCGCACAGCCCCAGGGACCGAGTTCGCGCCGGCGGAGTGCAGCACCCAGCCGTCGTGCCAGGCGGCGTCCCCCAGCTCCAGGGCGTCGTCCTGCGCGACCGGCGCGGTGGCGAACCACGCGAACTCCCACCCCCACATGGGCCAGGCAGTGCCAAGGGGGGCCACCACTGGGGGTGCTCGCCACTTCCTCGAGGAGGCGCCATCTCCTCGCGGAGAGATGTGGCCCCCGGAGCACTCCGGGGCCCCTCAGGCCAAACGTCCCAACGCCTCTTCGGGCTTCGATCCTGGAGCCTGGATATCCGCAGGAGGAAAACTGGTGACCCCCCTTAAGGAAAAGGCGGCCCCCGTGGCGCTGCCCGAGTGGAGGCCAGGAGGCTCTCCCACCAGCCGTACTCCCGCCGGTGGGTGCCCAGCAGGTACCTCAGGGTGCCCTGCTCCTTGCCCATGGCGGCCAGCGGGATCCAGGCGTGCACCGTGCGCAGACCTAAAGGGGGCACGAGTGGAAGGCGCTCGGTGAAAGAGAGCAGGCCGATGCCGCCACACATCTGGACCTCTCCCGACGTGCGCTCCGACCAGGATGAAGGGGCCCCAGGACACACAAATAAATACACACAAATAAAAAGATTCCCCATATTTTCTGGGTTTTTGTCTTCCCCACCATTTCCCATATTTTCCTATATTTTCCTGGGGGTCGACGAATCATTGTGTCTGTGTGTTTTTTCCCCTCCTGTCAGGATCCGAGGGAGCGCCCAGCCGTGGCGACGAGGGCCCTGGCGGGCCCCCGCCGCCGAGGCCCCGAAGCGCCGGATACGCGCGGGAGCCCTATAGGGCATCGGTCGGCGCACGCGCGGGAGCCCTACAGGGCATCGGCGCCGCCGGCGGCACTGCCAGACCTCCGACCCAGACCCCCGACGCCGTGATTTTTTCGCAACGTCATAATGTAAAATATACCACAAATCAACTTGTGATTAACAAATGGATTTATTTGAAGACACATTCGTTTAAAGTCGTTGACGATGTTCAACCATTGTAGTCACACCATCTTTATCCTGTAAGGTACGTTGAATTTATTCCAAATAAGGGCTCATTTTGTCATGAAATACAATATTTATGGACCCTGGTCTGGACCCCTTCCCTGGGACCGGCTTTTCATCGGGAGATGTTTTGTTGACAAGCCCAGGGCCCGGGAAGGGCCCTCAGAGGCTGAAGATAGCCAAGAACCTCCCGCCGTGATTTTTTTTCACAGCGCGAGGGGGTCTGGGGACGTCGTGACGTTTTCGCAACGAGCCCCCCTGGAAGCCCTGACCCTTTACCCGGGGCGGGCTTGTCGTCCCGAGATATGCTTTTTGCTGATGGCCCCTCCGGGCCTGGTGAGGGCCCCACGGGGCAGACAACTGGCATCAGGTCGGGCCTGTCCCCCTACAGGCGGATTTTGGACGAAAAATTAAAAATAGTTTCAACATACATGGTCAAACAATGCGAAAAAACGCCCCTTGGTTATTCCTTTTTTATTATTTGTGGAACAAATTCCCCCCTGCAGAGGGACAGGCCCGACTTCAAACCGGCAAACATCTTCCGCCCTGGCTTCTCTTGCACGCCGCGGGGAGGGCCAATGCGCGCGGCCCCAGTGGTCTCCCGATCCGTTCTCCCAGGCGGGCCGTTCTTCGTCCCGGGTCCCATTTCTGATGGTCCGGGGGCCCCACACAGAGGACCCCGAGGCTGTCCTCGGGGAAGAAGGGATCGGATGGAACAGGTCATGTCGCCAGAGAGCTGGGCACGAGGCCCCAACGCCGCAGACACGAGGGAAGGGCGTCGGTGCAGTAGACACAGGCGATCAGAGATCCGCCGGCCCTGTCGGCGTGTGTGAAGGGCTTCTCCGTTCGAGCCGTCATCTCCGTCATTCGTTCGTCGTGATCGCTGTCTCCCCCCCCTCCCTTTCCAAGCTCTCCTCCTCCTCCTCCAGCGCGCCGGCCACAGCCACGGAGAAATGGAGCAAACACCGTCCTGGCATCGGCAGGAGGGCCCGACCGGGGTCCTCCCCTGGCGAAGCTGCGACGGCCTCTCCCACCGTTTGCACCGGCTTCGCCCCTCTGCCGGCGCGCCCAGGCTCAGCGCGCCAGCCACGCCCACAGCGGAAATGAACCACGTCGCAATTTCCGCAGGTGCTATGCACCACCAACGTGCCCGGCCAGGGCCGCCCTGGGCTCCCCGATGGTGTGTAGACCCTTCTGGCCTCGGCCAGGAGGCGTATTCACATGCCAGGGCCCAGGATGGCCCTGGCGCCAGGCAGGGTGGTGGTGTATAGATGCCTTCTGCGTCATTATTGACTCGACGGGGAGCCCCAAGGAGGCTTCAAGTGCCCTTCGAACTCTGCACGGACCGGGTGGACGGACTGGGAGTAGCCCCTCGTGGTGCAATTGGTCAACGTCGTAGTTGAAACCCCTTACCTTTGATCCCTCCCCCGCCGGGGGGGGGCGGGGGGCGTCCCGGGGTGTGTCCATGGGGGGGAGGGTCGGATACGACGGCCTCCCTGGGGCGATTCTGGACAATGGAATTTACCAACTGCGTAATTCGCAATTCAATCGAAGGGAAGCCCCTCCCCTTTGATCCCTCCCCCGCCAGGGGGTCCAACGGGGGGGTCAGATACAACAGCCTCCCTGGGGCGATCCGGGCGGTGGAATTGATCGACGTCGTAATTCGTATCGAAGGGAAGCCCCTTCCCTTGGATCCCTTCCCCACTGGGGAGGGTGTCCAGGGGTGGGTCTCCGGGAGGTGGGGGGGTCAGATGCGAAGGCCTCCTGGGGGCGATCTGGGCAGTGGAATTGATCAACGTCGTAATTGCATTGAAGGTAACCCTTCGATCCCTCTCCCGCTGGGCGGGGGTCCAGCGGGGGGGGGGTCAGATGCGACTGCCTCCCCGGGGCGATCTGGACAATGGTATTGATCAGCGTCGTAATTCAATCGCAGGGAGGCCCCTTCCCTTTCATCACTCCCCCGCCAGGGGTGGTCAAATACGACGGCCTCCCTGGGGTGATTCCGGGCAGTGGGATTGATCAACGTTGTACTCGAATTGAAGGGAAGCCCCTTCGCTTTGATCGCTCCCATGTCATGGGAGGGGGGGAGATCCCAGGAGCAATCCCGGCGCCGGTTCGTCGGGATTGCTCCGTCGTCGTCGTCGTCGTCGTCGTCGTCGTCGTCGTCGTCGTCGTCGTCGTCGTCGTCGTCGTCGTCGTCGTCGTCGTCGTTGCCGTCGCCGTCGCCGTCGCCGTCGCCGTCGCCGTCGCCGTCGCCGTTGTCGTGTTCGTCGCCGTCGCCATCGCCGTCGGCGGCGGCCCCGTCTCCCGAGCGGGGCTGTCTCCCTCCTTCCTCCCCTATCCTCCTCAATTGTTCGCTCGTTCGCGTCCTGAAGGGGGCCCTCCTCCCCTCCCTGCCGCCCTTCCACTCTGCCTTTCTCCACTCCCTCCGTCAAGCCACTTTTACGGTGCTCCAGCATCTCCACTGCAAACGCCGGCCCCGTCCCCCATCGGAACACCTGCCAGACCCTCCACGGGGACACCAGTCTCCGCAGGTGAAGTACCCACCCTCCGCCAACCACTCTCCACGCCCCCAGTCCGAGGCCAAGTGCCAGGTGACGTTCCCCTCACGACGTGCGTCAGATGTTACATCTCGTGGCGCGCCGTGGGCGTCATCGTTCAGGGCCGGCGGCGACGGCCGTAAGGCTTTCCCAATCCTGCTGCAAGACGTCTTGGGGCACAGTCTTCGTCGAGGCTTGAGCTTCCTGAGGTGCCCCGGGGCTCCTGTGAGCCCCCAGGGCCATCGGGGGGCAGGGACAGACCAGCAGCACGTGGCATAGCCATCCACTCTTGGAGGTCCGCGCGGATCTCTGGGATCCGCGCTGGGTCCCACTCCGCGGCGCCGGAGGTGCCGCCACGGGAGCCCAGGCTCGGGGGCGCGCAACCATGGATTAGCGATCCATGGATTTGGCGCGCGGTCGCCAAATCCATGGATCGGGGGAAGTGCCCTCCCCAAACTGCGGCCGGTGCCGCGTCGCTCGGCGGCGGAAATTCGCGATTTCCCATGGAAACGGGGCCCGTCGCTCATCCACGCCCCTTGATCCATGTTTGTGATCGCCTGACAGGCGCCGATCCAAGAAGTCCGCGCGGAGCTCCGAAAATAAGTGCTGATGCAATTACTGTGCTCCTTCATCGATGGAAGGCGGGCTTCTTTGAAGGGGCCCTGGGACACACGAATAAATGTACACAAATAAACAGACTCCCCATATTTTCCTATATTTTCTGGGTGTTTGTCTTCCCGCCCAAGTCCCATATTTTCCCATATTTCCTGGGAATCGACGAATAATTGTGTCTGTGTGTTTTCTTTCCCTCCTGATTCTTACTTCCGTGCGGTGTCCTGGAATGTCCCGGCACGCTCTCCGGGGCCGGCTCTGCCGGTCGTTTTTTCGAGGTCCCGGGGCCGGGCGAGGGCCCCGAGAGGCCCCCCAAACGGAGAAGAACATCCGCGTGCAATTTTTTTCAACACGTTGGGGGCCTGGGGAAACTTCCGTGGGGCACTTGCTAGCAAGCGGATGTCTTTCAAGGGGCCCAAGAACACACAAATAAATGCATACAAAAATAAAACGATTCCCTATATTTTCCCGTACTTTCTGGGTTTTCGTCTTCCCGCCCAATTCCCATATTTTCCCATATTTTCTGGAGAATCGACGATTAATTGTGTCTGTGCGTTTTTTTCCCTCCTGATTGCTATCAAGCGGATCTCTTATCTGACGTGCCTGCCGTACTGGCACAGCTCCTCTCTGGAGGCGGCCGGGGGGTCTGGGCTGGAGAGGTCCAGAGAAGATCCGTCAAGAGGGGGGACGATGGCAAAGTCGCTCGGAATCCGTCCTCAGACCCCTCCTCCTCCTCCTCCTCCTCCTTCTCCTCCTCCTCCTCCTCCTCCTCCTCCTCCTCCTCCTCCTCCCTCCTCCCTCCTCCCTCCTCCCTCCTCCCTCCTCCCTCCTCCCTCCTCCCTCCTCCCTCCTCCTTCTCCCTTCCTCTTCCTCCTCCTCCTCCTTCTCCTCCTCCTCCTCCTCCTCCTCCTCCTCCTCCTCCTACCCCTCCAGGGGTCGACACGCATCAATTTTGCGAGCCGCGTCCAGCCGTGGCGGCAAGGGTCGCCTCGAAGGCCAACTACTGCTGTCTCGACTCGACCTGCTCTGAAAGAAACTTCCGTTGGGCACCTGCTGGCAGGTAGATCTCTGATTCGACGTACCAGGATGTCCTGGGATGTCCCGACTTGTTCCGCAGGGTTGCTTTTTCCACCCTGAATTTTTGTTTGAAGTTCCTGGGGCCTGGCAAGGGCCCCTGGAGCCAGAACGATAACAAGAAGAAGTCGGTCGTGCCGTACGGCGAGGGGATCTACCAATAGGCCGATCTCTTGTTCGACATCCCCACTGCGCCGGCATGGAGGGAGGGAGGGAAGAGCGGGAGGGAGAAGCGTGAAGAGGAGGAGGAGGAGGAGGAGGAGGAGGAGGATGAGGAGGAGGAGGAGGAGGGATCGACGTGTCCACTGTGCTGTCGCTGCTTTCGCCTCCTCCGCCCGCGGCGGACCAGGCGCAGCGGCAGGCAGCCCGACGGCCTCGTCGTCGCGGTGCCAATGGGTCTCGTGGTCCCCGGGGTCCTTCGAGAAGCCTGGGGCGCAACGGCAGGGGGGAGCCACCCCAGGGGGGACGACAAGTTCGAGGTTCGAAGCTGTCTGGCGTTTTCGTTGGCTCTCCGCGGTTTTCCAACCTCGGGATGCCTTCCAGCAGCTGCGCCTCGCCGAGAGCTTTCGGGGGGTGCCCAGATCGTCCCGAACGGGCGCTGGCGAGCCGAGGTAAGGCCCGAAAACCAAGGCGCAATGATGGGGGGGGGGCTGTCTCAGGGGTGGGGGCGACATCCTGTAGATCCTGGCGTCGCAATGCTTTTCGCAACGTGCGTTCTTGCTTTGTTTCTGGCCCCGGGACTATCGCAAATCGATATGACTGGAAAAATGCGGCCGAAAGATAAAGTCCAGGGCTCCAGTCATGAATTTGCAGCCTGGGGGGACTGGTCCCCCAGGCATGCTCGCGTCGCGAAACACCACGACGGACACTTTTGTTGTTGTTGTTGTTGTTGTTGTTGATATTGCTGCTGCTGCTGCTGCTGCTGTTGTTGTTGTTGTTGTTGTTGGATTCTCATTCGTGCTGAATAACAATTGTTGACCCCCCTCCGGTAACCTTTACACTTTTCAAATCGAGTGCTCATTCCATGGCTCGCGTTTATTTTTTACAAGGGAACACTGGGTGACACCAAACTAAGCCTCTGGCCCCCGAGTTACAACAACAACGGCTCCCGCCTGATTCTTCTTCACGATTTATTCAGAAATCGCTCTCTGGCGTGGGATTCCTCGCCATTGACTCCGACGCCGCGCTCTCAACACTCAAGAATCACGCTCGCGTTTTGATTTTCGAACGATTTACTTGGGAATCGCGCTATCGCTCGAGAATTCCTCGCGACTCATGCAGGACGCACGCTTCAGCAACCCGCCTGCTCGACCTGGCCGCCTCGGCCCGCCTCCCCGACACGCCCGTCCAGGTCTACCCGCCAGATCTGCCCGTCTGGTTCTGCCACGCGTTTCTGCTCCTACCCTCCAGGTCCTGAAACTCTCTCTCGTGCGCCATCTCCTCCCTCCCCCGTGTCCCTTCCTTCCATCCGTCTTCTCTTCCCCTGCCTTAGGGCCTGCACGAAATACGCGTTGCAAGGAAAAAGTATAGATCCCCCCAACACGGGACTACGACCGAACACGAAAAGGCGGGTATCGATGGTCTGGGATACACGTGTTGACTGGCCCGCGAACAGATAAGAGCGAACAGTCTTAACATGATTGCTGTTGTTCCCCCCTCTCCAATGCCCGTTCTATTTTTTGCAATTCAAGTGCTTCACCCAGGGCTCGCACCCTGCTCTTTTTAAAACGAAAATGGAAAGGGTCACCAAACGGCGTTGTTCGTCCCCGAACTAAAACAGCAACGCCTCCCGCCTGACACTTCCTCACAATTATTTCCCAATCGCGCTCTCGCGCATGAATCGCGCTCTCGCGTGGGAATCCCTCGCCATTTATTCAGACGCCGCGCCCTCGACACTCAGGAATCACGCTCTCGCTGTGAAGTTTCTTGCGGTTTATTTGGGAAATCGCGCTATCGCTTGAGACTTCCTCTCGGTTCATGCAGGACGCACGCTTGAGCAACTCGCCTGCTGGACCTGGCCGCCTGGGCCCGCCTTTCCCGACCCGCCCGTTAGGGTCTACCCGCCCAATCTGCCCGTCTGGTTCTGCCACGTGTTTTCTGCTCCTGCCCCCTGTCCTGCTACTTTCTCTCGTGCTCCATCCTCCTCCCTCACCCTCGTCCCTTCCTTCCATCCGTCCTCTCTTCCCCTGATTCAATCCACGTCGCAAGTAAAATACATAGATCCCCCAAGTAGGTACGATCGAACACGAAGAGGGCGGGTATCGAGGGCTTGGGTTATGCGTGATGAGTGGCACGCGAGCGGATGAGAGCGAACAATCCCGTAATGATTTTACCTAACAGCGAAGACTGATAGGTTTCTAGTGGTGTCAAAAGAGGTCACAGATCACTCCACAGGGGGGTCTGGGCAGGTGTTGGGAGTTGCCGGGCGGCAGGTGCCGGGCTCGCTTTTCGCCAACAGTCACACACTTCGTGCTCTTCGATTTCCCAGAACTCCATTCCCAGGCCACATTCTGGAGGGCCGGATGCAACAGTCACACACTTCGTGCTCTTCGAGTTCCCAGAACTCCATTCCCGGGCCACATTCTGGAGGGCCGGATGCAACAGTCACACACTTCGTGCTCTTCGAGTTCCCAGAACTCCATTCCCGGGCCACATTTTGGATGCCCGGAGCCAACTGTAGGCCACTTCGTGCTCTTCGAGTTCCCAGAACTCCATTCCCGGGCCACATTTTGAATGCCCGGAGCCAACTGTAGGCCACTTCGTGCTCTTCGAGTTCCCAGAACTCCATTCCCGGGCCACATTTTGGATGCCCGGAGCCAACTGTAGGCCACTTCGTGCTCTTGGACTTCCCAGAACTCCATTCCTGGGTATGATTTTGAATGCCCGGAGCAAACTGTAGGCCACTTCGTGTTCTTCGAGTTCCCAGAATTCCATTCCCTGGCCACATTTTGAATGCTGAGGCAGGCTGATGCAGGCTGAGGCTGAGGCAGGCTGAGGCAGGCTGAGGCTGAGGCGAGGCTGAAGGCAGGCTGAGGCTGAGGCTGAGGCTGAGGCTGAGGCTGAGGCTGAGGCTGAGGCTGAGGCAGGCTGAGGCTGAGGCTGAGGCAGGCTGAGGCTGAGGCTGAGGCAGGCTGAGGCTGAGGCTGAGGCTGATGCAGGCTGAGGCTGAGGCAGCCTGAGGCTGAGGCCGAGGCTGAAGGCAGACTGAGGCTGAGGCTGAAGCAAGCTGAGGCTGAGGCTGAGGCAGGCTGAGGCTGAGGCTGAGGCAGGCTGATGCTGAGGCAGGCTGAGGCTGAGGCTGAGGCTGATGCAGGCTGAGGCTGAGGCAGGCTGAGGCTGAGGCCGAGGCTGAAGGCGACTGAGGCTGAGGCTGAAGCAGGCTGAGGCTGAGGCTGAGGCAGGCTGAGGCTGAGGCTGAGGCAGGCTGATGCTGAGGCAGGCTGAGGCTGAGGCTGAGGCTGTGGCAGGCTGAGGCTGAGGCAGGCTGAGGCTGAGGCCGAGGCAGGCTGAGACTGAAGCCGAGCTTGAAGGAGATTGAGGCTGAGGCTGATGCAGGCTGAGGCTGAGGCAGGCTGAGGCTGAGGCCGAGACTGAAGGCAGACTGAGGCTGAGGCTGAAGCAGGCCGAGGCTGAGGCTGAGGCTGAGGCAGGCTGATGCTGAGGCAGGCTGAGGCTGAGGCTGAGGCTGAGGCAGGCTGAGGCTGAGGCTGAGGCAGGCTGATGCTGAGGCAGGCTGAGGCTGAGGTAGGCTGAGGCTGAGGCTGAGGCTGATGCAGGCTGAGGCTGAGGCAGGCTGAGGCGGAGGCCGAGGTTGAAGGCAGACTGAGGCTGAGGCTGAAGCAGGCTGAGGCTGAGGCTGAGGCAGGCTGAGGCTGAGGCTGAGGCTGAGGCTGGCTGATGCTGAGGCAGGCTGAGGCTGAGGCTGAGGCTGATGCAGGCTGAGGCTGAGGCAGGCTGAGGCTGAGGCCAAGGCTGAAGGCAGACTGAGGCTGAGGCAGAAGCAGGCTGAGGCTGAGGCTGAGGCAGGCTGAGGCTGAGGCTGAGGCAGGCTGATGCTGAGGCAGGCTGAGGCTGAGGCTGAGGCTGATGCAGGCTGAGGCTGAGGCACGCTGAGGATGAGGCCGAGGTGAAGGCAGACTGAGGCTGAGGCTGAAGCAGGCTGAGGCTGAGGCTGAGGCAGGCTGAGGCTGAGGCTGAGGCAGGCTGATGCTGAGCCAGGCTGAGGCTGAGGCTGAGGCTGAGGCAGGCTCAGGCTGAGGCAGGCTGAGGCTGAGGCCGAGGCTGCAGGCAGACTGAGGCTGATGCAGGAGCAGGCTGAGGCTGAGGCTGAGGCAGGCTGAGGCTGAGGCTGATGCTGAGGCAGGCTGAGGCTGAGGCTGAGGCTAATGCAGGCCACTGCGACTGTCATCGCGAATGCGACTACGACTGCGAGAACAGCAGAATTCTACAACTGGGTTCTCATCTGAATCTTAAAGGGAATGCTTCCAGATATGCTCCTACACATCACTGTTCGGTTGCTTTGCCGGGATAGTGTTGTTGAGCTACTCATAATGAAGATTTAATTCTAGTTGATCCCCCCCTCCCCCGCTCCCGGGTGACCATTGTACTTCTAATTAACAGCGAAGACTGATAGGTTTCTAGTGGTGTCAAAAGATGGTCACAGATCACTCCACAGGGGGGTCCAGGGCAGGTCGTCCGTCGTTGGGAGTTGCCGGGCGGAGGTGCCGGGTCGTTTTAAGCCAACAGTCGCACACTTCGTGCTCTTCGACCTCCCAGAACTCCATTCCCGGGCCACATTCTGAATGCCCGGAGCCAACTGTAGGCCACTTCGTGCTCTTCGACTTCCCAGAACTCCATTACCGGGCCACATTTTGGATGCCCGGAGCCAACTGTAGGCCACTTCGTGCTCTTCGACTTTCCAGAACTCCATTCCCGGGCCACATTTTGGATGCCCGGAGCCAACTGTAGGCCACTTCGTGCTCTTCGACTTCCCAGAAATCCATTCCCGGGCCACATTTTGGATGCACGGAGCCAACTGTAGGCCACTTCGTGCTTTTCGATTTCCCAGAACTCCATTCCCGGGCCACATTTTGGATGCCCGGAGCCAACTGTAGGCCACTTCGTGCTCTTGGACTTCCCAGAAACTCCATTCCTGGGTATGATTTTGAATGCCCGGAGCAAGCTGTAGGCCACTTCGTGTTCTTCGAGTTCCCAGAATTCCATTCCCTGGCCACATTTTGAATGCTGAGGCAGGCTGATGCTGAGGCTGAGGCAGGCTGAGGCAAGCTGAGGCTGAGGCCGAAGCTGAAGGCAGACTCAGGCTGAGGCTGATGCAGGCTGAGGCTGAGGCTGAAGCAGGCTGAGGCTGATGCAGGCTGAGGCTGAGGCAGGCTGAGGCTGAGGCTGAGGCTGATGCTGGCTGAGGCT